TGTAAACACATATTAAACAAATGGTATCAAAATAGTTTTAACATTTATTTACGTTTTAACAGAAGCTATTAATTCCGATAACACTTTATCGGACCATTTGTCTTTGTTTATGGCGTTTTTAACAACATACTAGAGGGAGAAAAGATCTTAAAATACTTAAAAGGCTACTAATCAGTCACTATTTTATTAAGAATTAAAAAAGATAAAAATTGTAAAGATTAATCATTGTGATGAAGTATGAATTATATTTAAGATATTACATCACTATGATTTTGACACTAGAAAGAAGTAAAAAAAATTAATAATATTTAATGTTTTTTATTAGCTTTTTTAAAAATACACATATATACAAAGCTACCAGTAAATGTAGCTATTTTTATTAACAGATATATTGATAGTGTGCTTTTGTGTATGTGGATTCCATTTGTTTTAATTGGTAACACACAAATGTACCTACATATGACTGATATAAAACTCAGAATAAAATCAGTCAGTAATAAATTCATTAATATTATAAAAAAAAAAAATAATAATAAACTACAGAACTAGTCAGTATGTAAGGGAAGTCATTCATGATGGAAGTATACAAAAAGAAATTCATCCTCCAGAAATTATTATATTATCAGATTTACAAGCCGGTAGTACTACAAATTTCTCGGAATAGCTTTCGTTCTCAATGGAAACATTTCCGAAAGATCTTTGGCCCGGATACAGATCAAAAACCATTTCTCAGAACTTCTACTAAGTCTTCTCTGCGTCGGCATCCGTGTCTACACAGAAGTATTTTCCTGATTCTGGTAATGTCTCATTCCGGGCGAGAGGAATTAAGAAGATCTAATGGTTGCCGGGGGAGAGAAGAAAAGGAGGGCTGAAGAAAAAAAAATAAAGAAAAAAAAATACCCACGACGCGGGAAAATTGTCCTAAACGTCGGCTAAGCCTACGACGTCCATCTTTGGTAATTTCGTAATTGCCTTCATCAAGTACATCTTGAAGGATTAACTTTTTGTCATACCTTGGCGGTACACATCACAAACATATCCCACAGGATAAACATGTAAATTCTATAGAGCACTACCCAGAAATAGTTTTTTATTAATATATCAAAATAGAGAACTTAATTTAGAGGAAAATATAACAAAAATAAATAGAATAAAATAAGCGGTGCTAAAAATTAAAAAATAAAATAAATTCAAGCCAACCCAATAAATGAATTTAAGAGTATTAAAATTAAAACATTGGAAATTTGCAAAATAAAATATAAACCATTCAAAATCACAGATGTTCAAAAATATTCCTTAAACAAACGGCATAACATTTACTAAAATCTCACAGAAAACAACATATGCAGAAATATATGATAAATTAAATTCCTGCTAAATATATTTTTTTTGTGTGTGAGATTTATATAAAATAGGTTGTATATTTGAATATGTCAAATCTTAATATATTTTCCGTTAAAAATAGCTATATACTTATGTACACTCAATGACATTTTTTTATTGTAATATAAAAATTACTGAAGTACAATTTGTTACGTAAAAATTCTAGAAAAGCATTAAGTGTTATATTTGGTGTTATATTTGATTAACTCTGATGGTGTTATATTTTTAAAAAGAACATTACAAAGTAAAATTTAAAAAAAAAAAGAAGAAATATGAGTAAGATTGATCTTAATCCCTGATCTTGCCGGCCAGTTATAACATGGAAATAAATAAATCAATACATATTTCTTTTGATAGTGTATAAGACTATATATATGCAGCTGTTTATATACAAATCATTAAAATAAAGTAGGGAGTTTTCCAATCATATTGATGGAAATATTTTAATAGTGCAGAATTAATAATTAGAAATATTTTAACCAAGAAAATTAAACAAGATCCTTACAAACATGAAATTCGAGGAAAATACTTAGATTACGGTTTTCACTTTTTTCTGGACAAAAAAAATAACTTTTAGTACCACATATGTCAACAAATGTGTCCGGAGACTTTAAGATGTGAATGAAACATTCAATAAAAATGGGATTTTTAATATTTCTTAGGATGAAAGATGTACTAAAAAAATTGAAGATTCAATGAATTTAAGTCAATTCTCTTTTCCTGATTACGATATAGAACTAGTAGACTCAAAATTTGAATCGTGTGGCTTGAATTAAAAACATGACAGAAATCAATAAAATTCTTTTTTAAACGCGTGTAAAAAACAAAATATTTTTAAGATGAAATATGATCAGAAAACATTATAAGTTGAAAAATGTAACCAAAGGGTCTGAATATTCAATATAAAAGTTGTGACATTCGTTTTAATCAGAAAAAAATTTATTTTAATCAACTTTCTATCAATATTAGAAGCAGCGTCGCTAAATAAGATTAAAATGACCATACTAATTTTGACATGAGAAATTATTATCACAATTTTCATTAAGTTTAGTAATTCAAAAAGACTTACAGTGTATCGAAAATTAAATAATTATTAGATCAAAAATTCACTGTCCTCGGCAATAGCTAACAAACGAACTGACCAGTAAATGAGATAAACCTTCTTTAGGGAATTATGGAAGTAAACAAATTATAGATATTATGTTGATAACCGCCTTGATGAACTTTGTTCTCTACTAATAAAAATTAGGGGCCGGTTTGATTCGATTCGGGTGTCCCGTGTACAGTGAACAGACGTAGTGTTGAGGTCCGGAAGTTTTTGTGTAAACAACACGAAACATTTCCGCTACAACTCGGCTCCTATCTAGACAGCACGGTTTTTTTTTTCTTGTTGTGGGGGTGTAAGTTGTTATGGGCTCACACAGGCGATTTCAATAAATCTTTGGGATATTTAATCGCATACAATAAATCTGGATGATTGAAAATACGATTTGAAGTATAATATAATTTTGTTACCAGGAAATATGCATCACAACAATTTTAATAAAATAATCCGGGTATCAGTAAACAGAAATTAAATATGAATTTTTTAAAAAAAGAAAAGATAGCACAAAATATAGATATTTTAAACATTATGGAAAAGTTAAACAAAATCACAACTGGAACTATTTACAGTAATCTTTTACGGAAGAAAAAAAAAAAGACTTCACAGGCTACCCCGAACAACCTGTCGAAACAAAAGAACGATCCGAAAGCAGAAAGACAAAAAGTCAAGCCTTTTGTCTTGAGATCTCAGGCAATGAGCCCGCCAAGAAACCACCCCGCACCGACTTAAAACGTATGAATACAATAAAACCCAACAGTATTACAATTTAAAATATGTTAAAAAAAAAGTGTCACAAAGGTCGATTATTAAAAAAAAAAAAATCAAGCCCAACGTTCCTACCAGTTTATTTTTGTCCCTTATGGCCGGTTGGAGAAGCACACAAATTAAAAGCGAAAGGTTGGACAAAACCGGTTCTATCGGCCTGAACACACAAAAAAAATTCCTTTCCAAAAGTGCTTGCCTTATCTTCAGAACAAGGGGCCGACATCCCTACAGAAGATCTTCGAGTTCCTATTCCATTAAATGACATAAATCTAACACTCCTCGAGAATGGAAGAGAAAAGTGAATCTTAACATATTAACGGTACATCTTTTTTATTCCCATTTCGTAAATTAAACGTAGTCTATAAAAAAAAAAAAAAAACGGCAAAATGGGCTTTAGATGGCTATGATTGAAAGTTATTAAGTTACAAATCTGTAGAAACGCAAAAAATTGGTTTAAAGATTTCTTATAAGGACCACCGGGTATTTGGTGATAAATCTCTAAAATAATTTAATAGTTTTAATTAAAACTCGCCTAAATATGTCACCACACTGTATTAATATAAGCGCAATCAAAAATAATCGAATTGATTCAAACCAAAAATATACACTGCATCCCACGAAGTTCTATTAAAAAAAAATAATATTTGCAAATCTTAAAAATATTAATATGAAAAACTACACAAATTATACTTGGTGTTGAAACTAAAAATACATTATTATTTAAAATATTGACTCCGTAGTATTACAACTGTTTTTAGATTTCTGTACGATAAGAAAAATAGATGAATGGACGAAAACTAAGCATTCAAAAGTAGTCGTAACTCAAATGCTGACATTTCACAAGATTTACTAAGCCATCTATTGCGCTGGATATGAGATATGACTTAACGTTCTACGACTTCACTATCGAAGTCATTTTTCCTCCGTCTCTTCATTCACAGCTAAATATTTTCTGGTCGTTTTCTCACGTTTTGACACTTTTTTTTTTGTTTTACTTTTACTGTGCCTCTTTACTCGGAGAAAGAATTCTGTACATAAGACCCAGGTACTTGGAGCTAACACTTTAACGATCCCGGCAGGATCCAATTAGAAGAAAAAGGTACTAGAGGTAAAGGTCATTAGGGGACTCCGGTTTTTCTGCCGGACCGAAAAGAGTGCAAAATTTAGGCGTCGAAGTCTCCCGGAGAACCGATTCGCCGGGATTTTGGACACTCACAAAAGAAAAAAATATATGTTTTTTTCAAAACAGAACCCTCCGAACGTTCTAGATTGATATAGAATATTTCTGGATATGTTAAAAAAAAACTAATACAAATGTAGTAGATATGTTCGATTGATAGCATAGTACTAAAAGAGAAATATCTTGAGCCGATGAACAGACGAAAATTTTAACATAAAAACAATGTTTAAATAAAATAGCCAGCGATGGAAATGATCATTCCACTACCTTTAATAGTCGGAGGAATTTCGGCCGAAAGATGAGTAATTACCGATTTCGAATGGCCGAAGGGCAATCAGACATCCGGCTCTGGAGGTCAATGCGCGTTCATTAATCTATTTTTAAATGATTAATTTTATAAAAAAATATTTTGGATTCGATTTAAACTTTATAAATCATATAAAGAGAAAATCATATATATATTTTTAATATTGGATTTGACAAGTGAAATTAAGAAATTAGTTAGTAGTGATAAGGAAGTAGAAACGGTTAACAGATATTAATGATAAAAAATTGAAGTTGGCCTACCTTCTGGCATCTCATTTGAGTGATGAATCCTTGCCTTCTTTTCGTTGATTACACAAATCACACACATTCACTAGTAGAGTCTACAGCAAAACAATAGTTGTAAAAAATACTTATACAACCAATCCGTATACTCAATATTGTTTTATATACAGGATGCAATGTCTTATAAAAAAACCAACATAAAATTCGAGAATGTAAACAAAATGTCAAAAAAAAAATAAAACTGTCCAAGAGGCAGCGTCTAATAGAGCGGATTAGGGGGCTCAGCTGAGACAATATAAAAATATAATATATAATAATAAAACTAAATGAGAAAACAAAACAAGTGATAATGTTGTTGTGTCCCCCACTGTTCGTGCGACGGTACCTCCCTTGCTCGATCGCTACTCTTCGACTGTCCTGCCCCGACTGAGACGGGAGAGGGGATACCCCAGAGGAGAGGGGGCTCCCCCACCCCTCTGCTTTGCATACCCCCACTATGCTCCCGTCCCCCTTCCCCTCCAGAAGGAGGAGGTACAGGAGAAAGAGCGGTAATTATTCAGAAAAGGAACGGAAAGGAACGCCCCTGAAGATATTAAAACCAACCCCCCCCCACACCCCCTACCCTCCCTTCAATTTTTCTCCCGCTTCCTTGTTTAGCCGCTTCTTTCCTCTTCTTCTTACTTCCCTTCTCAAGAATAATTGTTCATTACTGGGCCGTTCTTATTAGCCCCTTGAGTCAATTTTTAATGGACCTTTTTATACTTATTTACTTTTCTCTTTGCTCTTTCTCTCTCTTATTTTTTTTTTCTTTTCGAACCGAGGAAAAGACCTTCCTAAGCTTGTTAAAGTTAAAAACTTTTTTTTTTATAAACCCTTTTACTTCTCCGCGTTTCCCTCTTTTATTTATCTTAAAGAAAACTATAAATCTTCGGATATCGTTAACCGGCTTTTAAAGAAGAAATTGGCAAAAGCCTTTAATTTCATTTAGGGAGGATATTAAAAAGAAGTTATATAGAATTTTAATCGATATTGAAGTTCTTTGTCGATTTGTTACGAAATGCGAAAGATTTGCCAATTTACATATCGAAGGACAGTTTATACGTTCTGTATCGAAACGAATTCTGCAATCGTTTATACACAGATATATCGGCAGGGACACTTCAAAAGTATTTAGTACAAATTTATTAAGACGTACGATTTTGATCATATTCAGATAAACAAACTAAAACGTTATTTAAAACAATACACTTATGTCTTATCATGCAGTAAAAGTTGAAACGAAAAACAAGTTGATACAATAAAAACCACGCGATATATTTCTACTTATGAATAAATCTATTTTTTGCGGCTACAGACTGATGACGAGGAATTGCTGATTTTATAAAACAGAACCTATAAAAAAGTATATTATATTTATTTATTTTATGAACCATTAAAACTTCTTCATATTAAAAAAAAATAGTTAAAACCTACATCCGTCTAGCCCACAAATCCAAACTTTGAAGTAATGACAACTGCTATTGACGTCTACTATTTTAAATAATAATTTATCAAAATATACAGTAAAAATTAATAAAATGTTTTTTATTAGTGTACTAAATGTATTGGATATAAAGAGGATGAATATGTAACAAAATCATATTATTATATTTCTTTTAAATGGACCTTCAAGTTCCTTTTCATTTCTTGCATAAAATAATATTCCATTAGTCCCTGTTAAACAGATGTGTCATCTATGACGTTAAGACGAACGAAACCCAACTTCTGTTGGAATGTTATTAATATCCTTAATTAATTATGTCCTGTTTTAGTAGTTTAAAGGATTAGTTATTTATTGTATATTTATCTTTGTCAGTATGTACAAATATATTTCTTATAACAATATTATAATTATAAAGAAGAACAGATCCATGAACGATGAATGACTTATCCATTTGCGTTCTCCATGGAGCATCAGAGGAAGTAGGCATCCCCTGAATTGTGTCGACGATGTTTCAAATCAGCCCAGGGCTGGAAATAAGATATTTTTGTCAGGAAGATTATTTAATTTTGCCGTCCATAATTTTCACCACTACCCTTTCTCCAAGATAAATCATTAGTTTTATAATAGTATTATAGAAAATACGTTTAAAAATTAATATCACCATGTCTTAATATTGTCATTTTATTGGCTCGATTAAGACCAAAATAATCAAAAAGTAGAAACAAACACTTTTTACTTGACCAAAAATAAAATTTCATTCGACATTTGCCATCCTCCAAATTCTACCGGCTGAGGTGTATGCCTCATCGCCCTGTAATTTTAAATTTTAATTTATCTTTATCACAGCCTATCTCTTTTATAAATATAAGAACAAATAGCAGTTTTTGTGAATTAACTGTTTAACCTTAAATAAGTAATAGAAATTAGTGAAAACAAATTGTTTAGTCCTCCGAAAAATATAGACGTATTTGTACATTTCCTATACAGACCCATTAGACGTCTTGGTTCCCATATGTCTAAGTATTTTTAAATTATTACCTCAATCGTTGATCAAATGTTTTTATCTTATGTTGTTATTATGTATATAAAGTAATTTACTAGTGATAAAAATTTTATTATATTTTTATATAACTAATCCATTTATTTTTGTAAAAATAATATACTTATGATTTTCAATAGACTCATGTATAATATAACGTCACATATCTCTTATTCATTGCTAATCAAATAATTAGACAAAAATATATGTAATTCAATACCATTAATTTTGCCTTAAAATGAACAAGATACACGAAAAAAAATCATGTCTAATTCCATAAAATTTTTCCATTTATTTTAAATTTTGATATGTACATAATAGGTGCAGTTTTTTTATCAAGTTCAAAGCATCATTGTTTTTTATAATTATATCTGATAACCAATCATTTATAATAATGTTAAATAAAAAATAATAACATTTACAAATTAAACATTAAACATCGAAATGAAAATGAGATAACATAATGCATTAAAATCTTTATTATAAGATACGAATAATGTTTTTAAATAATCAATTTTAAATAGTAATTAATATAATAACTAGAATATAAAAAAAAATATAGTAATCTGGTGAGTATGCCCGCTATAGTTACCGATAGATGGCGTTAGTGCGGTGTTTGCATTACAAAACCCCTGTGGGTCCTACAGCGGATTACCTTTGTAATGCAATAATTTAATTTAATATATATTTCATTAAATAAAATACATAATATTTTAAATATTAATTAACTTAAGATCAATTAATTTTATTAAAAATAAATAAAATTATTAATATTTTAAAAATATAAAAACTTTAATCTCAAAGATTAGTGAAATGTCTCGCTTTGAAACAGAAACTTGATTTCTGATACAATTTTTCTAAAAAAAAAAAAAAAGTATTTGATTTTATTTAATACTAGTCTACGTCGCTGTCCGACATAGTTATTGCGTTTCAAATAAGTCGAAAGATTGTAAATAGATAAAATAAATGAATCAATTGTGTCCTTCCTGGAATAAGTTCATACCTAATTTCAGAGCTTCGTAAAGACTTGGGAACAAAGGAATCTATTGACATCCTTTCCTTCATATGCTTATAGAATACAATAGCCTCATTGATTATTTCCTGGATTGAAAATTATATGACTAAAATCAAAGATATCTTAATCATTTAGTACTGAATTCGCGAATATGTTTTAAGGATAAAAATTCGATTTTCAGTATTTTTTAAATTTTACTGCAAAAAATATTTAATTTATTCATAAACAACTTAGTATCTTATATTAAATATATTATTTTCAAATATTTTAACTGTAGAAATTCGCGAAACTATGAAGGATTTATGAAACTAATGACATTAACTTTAAATCTTCCAACTTATTTTTTTTTTTATCTGAATAAATATCCTGCTTAGTCAAAAATTTTTGTTTTTGTTTTTCTTTAAATATTAATTAATTAAAAACTGCCAAGGGTCGGGATGGGGAGGACAAAAAACAAAATATTTCAGAGGGAGGGGACCTCGTACAAAACAGATATATGAACTGCTGTCCTAAATATTAATCCTTTGTGATGCCTAAAAAGATGACCCATGATCTATTAAAATTTAAAAGTAATGTCATATTTTTGATGTTGCTGTAGTTGTAAACATACATAAATAAATATTAAACAATAAAAATTAACCATCTATGTTTTATTATAAAAAAAAAGAGATAATCATTTTTTGTAGTTGATAGACGTATGAACATATCTTTTTATTTAAAAGAAAAAGGTAATAAAAATTGTCTCATATATACGGAACATTTGTCAGAGAATGGGGTTAACTAATTAAAAGTAATAATGGTGATAAAAATTGTAATAAAATTCAAGATTTCAAACCCATAATCCATATTGTAAATATTGTCTGGATTGCTTCATTACTATAGGTAACATTATAGTCCGAATACCATCGGATCCGTCTCTAAACTGAGCAAAGGTATGCCATCGATATGCTCAGCGCTGAGTTTAGGAACTTGCACTAACTCTTAAGCGTAATAGGTTAGTATATAGATTTTAATTATTAGTTTATTTTCTTGGCCTTTCTTTAATGATTATTTTCACCTCGATTCTGGCCAATATTTATAATTTAACAAAATAAACACTCGTCATTTATTTGGTTTTAATCAATTTTATTATTATAAAAAAATTTATATAAAATTTTATATAAAATTTATATAAAATTTTATATAAAATTATATAAAATTTATATAAAATAAAAAAGGTTATATAAAATTTAATTAATTAATTTTAATTGGACATTTGGAAGATACAAAATTCTGCTCTTCAGTATCCATGTTTTGCATTGAACCAGTAATTTACTTCTCTTTAAAATAAAAGAAAAAATTAATTTAAAAGGAATGTAATATAGGCTAGCTTGGCTCAATATGGAACCCATGATGTATTATTTATATAAATTTAGATGCTGAAGACTATCAACAAAACAATGCCTAAATACATAAATTACAAGTGATCATTTTATTAAATTAAGCCTCTGTTAAAAAGTTATGAGAAAATAAAAACATATATTTATTGTATTAATTTTTATATTATTTTTTTCATTTACTTATTAAGGGGAAAAAATTATTAAAGGTTTCGTGTCTCATATTATTAACAATATATTAAATGTGCACTAGCCTTATTATATAAGATTTAATGTTAAATCGTATTTACCCAAGCGAGATAATGTTAGTTGGAGAGAAATGCACTGAATTAATAAATTTAAACACTTTATTATTATTTATTTTATTGATTCATTATTAATTAATGAATAATTAATTAATTATTAACTTAAGCTTAACTGACTGGAATTTCGACTGCCCTTAATCTATATTTTTATATATAACTGTAATTACTCTGTAAAAAAAAAAAGTATCAACTATTTGGTTCCTAAAG